CTTCCATCTCCAGTGTGTTCAGCAGTTATAGGTTCTCTGGAGATAAACCGAAGTCATTTTATGATTGATTTTTCTGTTCTAACATTTGTTAGTTGATGCTGGAGAGGAAGCTTCTTTAATTCATCACAGGCATCCTTTTGGTCTCTGAATGTGAAGCTGTTCATTCTGCTTCAAAGAGATTCTTTTTTATTGCCAATGTAGAATTGGCAAAACAAATACCTTCAAATTACATGTATGGAAATGTGGCAAGGTTAAGGTTATTTAATGCATTTTGATGTGATTTTTAGCTATTTAATCTGTATTCTTAATGTTGGAATTCATTTGTCTCAAAATAGATTGCTCAAAGGATGATGAACTTTATGGCCTGAACCATTGTTTTACCAATTCAAGTTGAGCACTGAAAATTTAATCTCAGAAGAAGAGTTGATATGCTCTAAATTTTGATAAAAACTTAAAGGATTGGGAAATCTGAGCAGCAAATTGGATATGTTGTACTAAGCATTTTTTATGCATTCAGTTTTAAGAATATTAGAATACATCAAGCCATGTTTCAACATAACTTAAATGTCAACACATGAAGGTGATGTATTCAACACCTTACCAGTGACTGTAACACAAAAAATATTGTTTGCAGATTACTCACATAATATCAAATAAAAAAGGGACTTGCAATGATTTAAAGGTATCTTTAGTGACGTAAGTAACAGGTGCTCTCTCCATTTCATTCATTTTTGTCTGTCATTTTGAAATGATCAATATACAGATTAGATGTAGCACACTTATCCGTGATCTGGAACATGGCTTGGCTATCATTTATGGTGGTTCAATGGGTAATATATAATATTGAAACTCAGAATTAAAAGTTAGCTAGTTTTTTTTAATCATTGTGTATGGTTCTGTTGACTAACATGACATTTATGGATATCTTGGGTATATTTACACTGTAAGTCAAGTGCTACTTTGAAGTTGCCACACCTGTATGACAGAAGAGCATATAAGTGATTCAGACAATTGGACTTTAGATGAGTTATTCTGACTGTGAGATCAGTCGTGTTAAGCTAGATTTCACAATATATTGTAGGTCTTCATCAGCCTATCACATAGAACAATACTAAAGCAATAACCAATCACACAATTAGATTTCAAATAGCTCTGGGCGTTCTGCTTTTAAAATCAATTATCTGTCGTGTTTAAGCATGTTACTTAATCTTGATTTTTTTAGCCAATTAAACAATTGCATAAAGTGGGATTAATGGCTTGGAATTGTTTTTTGTCTTTATAATCAAGGGAATCCAATAACATTGATCGGGAAAAACTCTGTTCCGAAATGTCTTTTCACTTGTAGCAGCAAATTTGATTGTGTTATAGAAGTGGCAGTGTTTGCATCCCTGTTGAACTCTAACTTTATTACTAGTAGCTCAGTCCTCTGTATAATGGTATACACAGATAAAGTCTTTGGGCTGTTCAGAATTTCAGAGCAATTATCTTAATCTAGCTTTCCTATGCCGAGATGGCTAATACAGACAAGTTTGCCATTTGGCTTCTGGCAGTGGTGGGGAGAAAACAGAACCAGGAGCTGTTCAGTTTTGTGGAATCAACTGTGTAGAACAGTGGGCATTGTCAGCTCACAGGAATTGGTTGAAGCAGTGGGAGATAAAGTATTGACAGATAGACTTTTTGATTAGTCTCTCATGCCTGCATGGAGTCTATTTTCAAGGAATATTTAGAACTTAATGATGTTGTGATTGTCTAAATCTGCCAGTTTCCTCATCATTTAGGAATTTTCTCCATTCATTTGCTTTGATAAGCTTGCTCAGTTGAAGTGCCCTGGCTGAGCCAGATGTCCATGGATCTGGTCCTTCACTCTGACCGCTGTGACCTAAAAGAAAAAGAGATCACTGCAGGCAAAGAGCTGAAAGAGGGCAGGAACATTTTCTTCATTATAATTAACGTGGGCCAAGCTGTTGCATATTTTAAATTGGTGATTTTATCAACTGGTAGCATTACAGATTATTCCAGAGATCATATGGTCACAAGGAAGCAGATGGCACTTTGTTTCATTTTAAGGGCGTTTGAAGTCTTCAGTCACGCTATGTGACCTGTTGAAAGTGAAATCTGAAGAAGGTGATATTGTAATTTGAATATGGTAATGACTCTTTCATATACATAATTTTGGAATCTTATTAATATATTTTTCGTAACATTTGTGGTGCTGTTACTATATAGAATAGAACTATGGGGTAGCCTGCTTCTCAGTTTTGTTGCTGCCAGAAGGAATGTTCTAATTTTAAAGAATTTTACGATCTAAAAAGAAAAAATACAGTATTTGTAAAATTCACAATTTTTGATTGAGTCATTACCGTAATCGCAATTAACTGGGTGAGAAAATAATGCATTTAATTGACATGCCTAAACATCTGTCCCTCAAGAACAGATTGCACCAAATCTGTCTATAAAGGAGTAACAATTGCACATTAGTGCAGTCATTACACAGAAGGAGGCTGTTCAGTGGCTGTTCGAGGGGGTCTTAGTGGCAAGCATTTACGCAAGGACTCCTTGACATACAAATGTACATCTAGATTATAAAGATATGTGTTGAACTGGCACTTTCACATTTAGGATTAGTGGCCTAGTGTGGTAAAAGGTAAGACTTTGCCATATGTGAATATGACAGGCCATATGTGAACATGAAAGAACTAAGATGAATGTTGAAGGAAACCATTCAGTATTTCAGTTGTAGGTATTCTGACAAGAGATTGCTTTACTGAAACAACTGGTATTATTAGTAGTTACCATGTAAGAGAAAGAGTTTCTGTATATGCTAACATGGACTGAGTTGTGAGATCAGAATTCCACAATAATACTGAGAAACAGCATCAAGGAGAGGAAATAAAATATAAGTAACAAACAAGTTGAAGGATTCAAGGTTTCAGCTTTGGCATGATTCTGGTTTCTTCATCAGGAAATTTAGAGGGAAAAGGAACAGTGTATCCAAGATTGAATTTGCGAGCTGGCAACTATTCCCATACCTGATAAATCTGCTGGAACTTCATTGTCTGGGCTTCTGTAAATTCTCATCAAATCCTTCAAGAGACAGTTTAGGCGGCAAGTTTATTTGGACATGGTTTCATCGTTCTATGAGAAGTTGCAGATTTCTACCACTTACTCTGTAGTGGCATCAACTGGGGATTTATTTTTCTGATATACGGGATTGAGTGAAGCTCAGATAAATACATGCATCACTTTATCTATAACTGATATCTTTATTGAACCTTCAGCAATTTAAAGGATTAGGAGATTGCTCTTGGCTGATCTGTCCCAATGGGGTGTAATACTTCTCACACCCAGTCACATGACATAAAGGTTGAAGATGTGAAGCAACCAGAGGAAGGTTTGCACTCTTCTCTCTCTCTTTCTCTCTCTCTCTCTCTCTCTCTCTCTCTCTCTCTCTCTCATATGTTGTTTAGGCAAATATATAGGATGATATAAATTATAAAAGATAAAACTTGCTGAATTTAAACAGGGTTTGCTTTACAGTTATTATTTTTTCAGTTCAACATTTTTTAATTTTTTTAATTATTGGAGCAAGAGGTGAAGAGGTGAAATGTTGGAACTGGGAAAGATGATTGCTATTTGTTTTTCTTTAAAGATTATTGATATAAATTTCAGTTGACATTAAAATTCTAAAAATTGCTCTGTTCTGTTGTTCCATTTTCATCAGTTTGAGCGTTGATTTATTGTATGGTATTTCCTGTACTGCAAGCTAATCCCTGTCTCCTAGTGGCAGCATTTCTGAGATTTATGTTCTTGGTAATCACCATGGGTTAAAGTGCTATCATTGACAATAGCACAGATTTCTTTTTCAGCTTATTAAGAGTGCCATGCCGAGGTGCTTAGGTCTGACTTGAAAGTATATTTGTCTTTTAATTTATGCCATTGGTAATGAAAGCGAGTTTGTGGAATTCTAATTCGGGTATCTAAATTATTGAACGTAAAACCTGATATGGTGTTTCCGGCTTGGTGTTGATGCCTTTCGATGCTCTAGCCTAATGCTTGTGTTTTGTTAGACATACAGCTGGCAAGACATGTTGTCAAGAATGCATTCTTAATGTTGTATAAATGTGTGTGATACTTTGGTGGTGTACTCTGTATCTTAATTGGCAATCAACATTTTTTTAGCAAGAAAACTCTTTCGTTCAGTAGTTTGGTCGTTTCTCTTAGCAGGCGCAGACGTCTGCTATTGCAGCTGTGTATTTACACATTCAGGTTTAAGAACAGAAGAGACATGACATTGATATGTAACCATTTTCTGCAAAAAGAAGATAATTACTTGCCAGACTGTTTACATATGCATGAGAAAAACATTTCCTTTTGTCATTAGATTTCGCATCAATCCCAGGTTTTGTTTAGCCAGTTGGTTTCACATTTCTACCACAGTTTGCTGGCTTAATACACTATCAAAGTCACACGTGTCTATCTGAAAACATTGGCAGTGAATAAATATTATAGATTGTTAATAATGTGATGTAAGATTTTGGGTAAAGTCATGGAAAATAGGCCCTAAAATTCTGCACCTCCTTTCCACAGTCTATCATGGCCAAAACATTATAAAGGTGAAAAGAATTGCATTTCTGAAATGTATCAACTATATCTTAGTCCTGATACTTTTAGAAAGGTGAAGTTCAGCCATTGCTTTAAACAACACTTCATCCATCATGTTGTCTTAAAAATTAAAACACACACATTAGTATATGTTAACACCATGAATTTCTAAATGTCTTATCTGCACAAATGCATATGAGAATATAAATGATCATGAATATTTTACGCCTATGCATACTTTGGCTTTGCCCACTTTTTATTTTTTTAGGCAACCACAAGCACCAAAAGCCACATACCAAACCCATGGTGTGCTGATTTAAGACCCAGGATTGAATCAAGTGCGCTGCTATTTTTAGATNCGCAAACTCGCATTAAAGTTTTAAATTGTCTCTTTGCAGAGAGAATTGATGGTGTTTCTGTAGGCCCAGGAAAAGTTCTTGGAGCTCCTGGCACTGGTGGTTTATCACGGAATCTGAACCGTGGTATGCATTTATTTCCCAGCACTCCTACTGGATCTTTGATACAAGTCAACCAAAGTGCTCAGCAAACATCCCAAGCTCAAGAGACTAAGGTAAGACTTGCCTCTCTGTGAGTTGGACATGTGGCCAGAATGACAAATTGTGTGTCTGTGTTCTTCCTCAAATTTTCATTTTGAAAATTTATTGATAATATGTATACAATTATATACTTTCGCTTGTTATTTAATCAATAGGCTATAGGTGATTTCAGAAGATATTTATTATCTTCTGGCATATTGCTTAAGAGAAAATACATTGAAAAGTGGACATGCATTTTGGAGCCTGCCTCTGACCACAACTCTAGAACAGTGCAGGTTGCCAGATGTCAATTTATGTACAACACTTTCTCTGATTCTTAAATTAGAAACCATACTTTGAAATGTAATGATAGATTGTTGGTGGATGGCTTGTTTTACACATTATCTTTTCACTTGTGTTTCATTATCCATGATATTAATGTAGGAAATGATGGCGGACTGATGGAATTCACTGAGATTGAAGTGAAAGGAATTTGATTAAGTTTGAACTTATTTTTGGGTAAAAAGGGTTGAGGGAAAATAATTCTTGGCAGTGAGTCAGATGAAAAACTTGACAAGCACATTAAGTGTTGCATCCCTTGGTTTTAAATAGATAGATTAGTTTGGTTTATTGACATTTATGGGGAAATACATGGTGTGTGAAGTGTACTAAATCATTATTCTCAGAACAAGAGTGAACTTCCAGTTGCTGGAATATAAGCTGAATGCAATACGGGATAACTGTTCAGAATGCCTTAAAAGTTCAGGTAAAGATTACCTCATCTTTAGCCATTTGCAGGCCATCCTGTGCTTTTTGTCTCGTTGCTTTCAATGGGGGTGATTGTGTCAAGATGTGATCCATTGCAGTAGCAGTGACAAGAGACTTGTTATTCAGGGAAATATTAACTCTTTTGTAATGAAAACCAGAGCAGTATGTTGTGTTCTTATCTGTTTTGTTGCACTGTTATTTCTCTCACATTGTTAATGGTAAAGAAATTGTTTGATCTGATTACCTTTTCATCAGTGGGCAGCAGACCATGCCTGTATTCCTTATAGTGTTATTCATTAGTGCCCCCCGAGGGAATATCAATCTATTTTCACCAATAGGTATAGTGATAATTAAATCATTACTTTAGTAGACTCTCTGATTAACAGCATTGACGTCATTGTTAGCGTAATCCTTCAATATTTTACGCTAGTTGGAAGAAGTGATTTCTGACAGTTCTGTGTGAAGTAACTATGCTGTTTTACGAGGCGTTCTTAAGAAACCCTGAAGAATTTATACATGTATGAGGCACTCTCATAAGCTGCTGCATTGGTTTTGTCATTTATATTTGATGACCAAGTTTTAAAAGCTCAGAGCAAAATGCCTGTAAAGCCAGAGTGGTAAAATGAAGGGAGTCCATTACATGGTGTTCACAAGATTTAATGGTATATCAGGTAGGTAACATGTTGGGGATATCAGGGACGAATCCAGAGATATTTTCTGACAGTCTTCCAATTTATCTTTGTTGATCCATCCTCCATTTTTGACCGTCTTCTGACAGAAAAAATTAGATACCGGTCAATATAAACTTGAAAATCTGACCGTCTTCCGGAAGACCCAGAAGACGGCCTCAATCCGCCCCTGGAAACGTTTATCTTCTGTTAGTTCATTTTAGATTCTGACTTGTAGACATTCCTCCTAAGTTGTTGTTACAACAATGACGTGGCTTAAATTTTACTTTGACACTTTTTACAGTAATGTTGAATGAGAATATAAGACAAATATATTTACCGTATGTCAGGTGAATAAATTAAATGCACAGAACTTTTAGAAAATTAATTTCTTAAAAATTGTCAGTTCATTTGATGAGATACAACAATTGAATGCAGCCTCTGAAATAACACAAAATTCCATGCATTAGCACCTCCTATTTATGTTTTTTCCCATTATGTGGCCATTAAAATTTTGCATGCATTGAAGACTGCTATTCAGGTGGTCATGCTAGCTGAATGTCATTTTACAGTTATCTACATCTTTATTGTTCATGCTTTAGCACACATACTATCATAGAAAAATTTAAATAGGAATGCTTTTGCCATAAAGGCTTTTATAACTGGCATAAAAATGATAATCCAAAAATGCAACACTGGAATTATATGTTTTATAATCTCTGGGATGATGGCACTTTCCCAGGCTGTCACCATCCCCCCCCCCCCTCTCTCTCTCTCTCTTTATGAGTATGGTACAGAGTATGATATAATCTATACAGTAAGTCAGGGTAGGGCAATATTCCATTTGCCAAGGTCCCATATATGCACATTTTGAATAAGTTGTGTGTGAATTTAAATATAAAAAAGGTTGGCCAGTTATACAGTGCTCTGTTATAATTCAAAGTGATTACAATGGTGCCCATCTTACCAAGCAGGTGTATAGCATAGTGGCCAGAATGTTACTGAAGATGATAAGTACAGTCATATTTTAGAAGTCTGGAAAGATATATTCCTGCTGTAGGTCAAAACATGCATCATAATATGAAAAGAAACTGACAGCAGTATGCAAGAGTGCATAAGAAGATAGATTATTCTGTTTTTCCAGAGCTTGTGTGTGAAACTTGGAAATGCCTTACTTTGACCCAGCCTGTATAATAATTTCATGGTTATGGTATTTGTGTCAGGATTTTTTAACATAAAAGGTCAGAATATAAATGTAGAAAGCGTTCAGATATACAGTTATAGATGATATACTTTTCAGAGTCACCCAATGCTAAAAAACATTTTACCAATGAATGCAAGTAAGTTATTTTACTTCAAAAAATTGTTCCAAAATTGAAATTATTATATTGACAATTTGAAAATTTGACAGACTATAGTTGAAGATTGACAATATTAGATTCTTGTGTCAATTGACTCATATTCATGAAATAATTCACAATTTTAGTTACTGTATAGTGTTAGTTGCATCTTGATAAATGATTTAACTCTTGGTTCTTTTTGCCAACAGATGAAAATAATTGGTTTTAAAGCAAATGCCCACTCTAGTATCAGGGACATAAAACTTTAAATATTTCCGTCTAACTTTAAATGGTATCTATGAAACTACACAAGGAATATTTCTATTTCAAATATCTGTTACCTTTCATCAGCAATCATTAATTTCATTTCAATTTAGGTCATTCATGATGTAAATCTGCTGGGTGTCATATTTGTAATGATTCTCTGAAAGCACAGTGGTTGACGTAAAAGATATCTTACATAACATACACTAAGCACCTGGTATTGACTGCAGAGGAAAGGACAGCAGACATTTCAAGGGAACAAATGGGAATACTATTCCATTAAGCCATCATCATGACAACCTTTACAACAAGATCTTCGAAAATCTTGAAAAGTGTGAATTGATCTTTTTGTTACCTGCAGTAATAAGTTTTGACACATGCGTCATTTGATGAGGAAGTGAAGCTTTATATTTCTCTAGATTATTTTCTCATCCAGTTTTCTACCCTAGTAACTTGATCATATGACCTAACCACAGCAGCTCCTACACCTTTTAGTTGAAAGCATTTGAAAAAAAAACTTGTCAAACCAAGATGGAACTGGGGTGTACTCTAGTTCATTTAACAGTAAATGCACAGTTCTCAAGATATGACGTTTATGGGGGTTCCTGGAAAAGGATTTCATAGTAAGTGGGGGAGAAAAAAGAGGAAGAGAGAGAGAGAGGTGTATTGTGGGAGGGTGCACACTGGTGCTATAAGTCAATTACTATGAGGGTTTATTCTTCAGGATTATTCATCTCCTCCTAACACTCCGAGAGGAGAGGCAGCAGAGCAGCCTAGTGATCAGACTCCCCTTAGCCAGCAGACAGGTGCAGAGGACAGCCCTGAAATGAACAGGGACACCAAACCTGGGCCAACACAGCCAAAAGACACAGTGACTGTGACAGTTCAAGGTAGTGACAATAAAGAGAATACCAGCCCTGCCGACACCATGGAGACAGGCACAGAGAAAAAATCACGCCCTCAGAAGAAAATTGAGCGCCTGCCCAGCGGGCGAGACATCAAGATAGGTGTGGAAACTGAAGATGGCCAGCAGAGCAGTGTTGTGATAGATGTAGCTGAAGGAGAAGATGGTAAGAAAATTATTTATAAAAAACCTCTGTCTAAGATGAACATCTAATATCATTTTTACAGTCTTGTCTTTATCAGTATGGCAAATTTTAGCTTGGTATAGTGCTCAGATTGATATTCCATGTCTTAATTTGGATCTAGAACCCACTTGTGTCCTAGTTTGGATTAAGTTAATTGTAATGGATTTAATTGTAATTAAGTTTACCATGGGGTATTGATCAGGATTAACCTAATTATTATAAAGTTAATAAATTTAATTCTAATTGAAGTGTGTCACTATTACAAGGTATTGTCTTGGTTGTGAAAGCTACAGAAATCAATATACACAATCACAGATGTGGACGTGTAATCATTGGACTAAATCTGATTCCATCTTCAGTAACAGGATATGTCTGGTTATCACATTATATAATACTTCCAGTGAAATGGAAATGTCTTGGAATTTGATCACATTTATATAGCTAATCAAGGAAAAGTTTCACAAAGCTAATGGTTGTCATTATAGTGATATCCGCAAAATTTACCTGTATATTAATAAGTGGAGAATTACAGAGCAACCCCCTTAACCCTGCGATGAGATGCCCAATCTAGCTAACTTGGTATTTACGAAACCAGCACCTACATCATTTTACATCCTGTATGATAAGGGTCAATGACCTTGAAGCAGAATTAACATCATTTTTGGCTGTATTCACAACAGCAGACTAACAAGTCTACAAAGCAAATATGGCCGACACTTCAATGCCTCCCCATGGGGAATCTATTCAGTGTGTATTAGCAGATTAAATGGCAAGTTTTTTAGTGGGCTGCCATACTTGACCTGCAGACTAGTTCGTATGCTGTTCTAAATGCAGCCTTTGACATCAGTAGTGTTCCTGCATGATAAGGCACTCTGTTTATAGAAAATATTTTATTCCTATGTCCTGCCCAAAGGGAAAAAAATAATTCTTGGGATTTCAATTTGTTTTGATTTGCTTGCACTGTAGCACTTCATGAGGCACATTCCAAATGAAACTGTAATTCTACATAGATTGATCCAACTCTGCATGGACTCTTGCTGAATGACAGGTTAACACCTCCTTGTAGCATTAGAAGAAAACAGAAAAGCTGATGGTTATACAAGTACATTGAAAACAAGAGGTTAACCTGTTAATCTGATTGCATTCAGCAAGAGTCCCTGCATAGTTGGATCGATTTATGTAGAAGAATAGTTTCATTGGAAATGAGCCCATAGTTACATGATGCAAAAATACCAAACGGTGAAACATTAATATTCATCAGTAGTTTACTGTTACTGTAATCCAATACTATCAAATTTTCTTAGGATGCTGAAAAAATATCTCTGTGTACGTAATGAGATGGTGACAGTGTTGAGTTACAAAACAGTTCTTAGAATAATATGAGAAAACTTCCTTGATATTTATGTTTGAAATTAAGTATCTTCCTTTTCATCTTAAAGTTTTTAAAAAAGAATTATTATTAAACAGAATAAGACGCATATTTCACTGAATATTTTTAAATATAATCATATCTTGGGCCCGTCAGATGCGTGTCAATTTATTTTGTTACAGTACACACACATATATTTATGTGTGTTTGTGTGTGACACTTTTAGTGAACACACAATTCTACTTCTGTAAAGATTAAATGTTATAGTAGCACAGTATTTTCTTTTTTTATAGCAGCGGATACTGAACCAACCAGAAAGCAATCGATAACTGAGCGTGTGAGCAAGTTAAAATCTTCAGAATCTGTGGTACAGTCCTTAATGGTAAGAGAAGAGGATTACTATTTAAAGATTCTTCCAATGATTTCTCAATAAATAGTATGGATTTCTATATTTGGACACAATGTACATACTGTTATTAAGCTGTCTTTACTGACTCTGTATTGTGACTTTGATGCTGAAGACTTCAGTATAGAAATGATTTGTGAATGAACAAATAATACCACTGCTTCCCTTAATTTTCAACTTACCGCAGGCATCTGTTTGTCCAAATTACATAGTAACTAAACGATTAAAAAATTATTCCCCATTTTACTCGTGTTCACATGCATAGTAACCTTCCTCACTTCTTGTGAAAATTGATAATTGCTGCCATTGTTGTTGTTATGTGATCCCCCACCGTGAACGGTGACATTTTATTATATCTGAAAAAATTCAAATGTGGGTTTAAATGATACACCTACACCGTGCATGTAAGACATTTGTAAACTATTATTATCATTCATTTAGTTCTCGTCTCTTTTTATCAGAAACGCAGTGGAGCACAATTTTTCACATAGGAAAGGTGTTTATCACCCTAATGTTTGTATAAGTGTGCATTTTTATTGTGTTGGGAAAAGATGGTATATTAAACTTTCTTATAACCCCGATAACTTATCAAACTTAAACAAAAACACAAAACAAACACACATGCGTGCGCTAAATACTTTCTCTCACTTAAATGGTAAATTCTTGGAAATTTTTGAAGCAAAAGACTTTTTTCATACATGTGATGTTTTAAATTTAAATACAATGTGGTCAAATATTTTGCATGAAAATGAATCAATATGATGTAGAAAATCCATTTAGGGCTCATTCACTATAATTCAATCTGCAGACTACCAGATCTGCAGATCAGTTATGGCCGACCCACTAGAAAGCTAGTTGCATAATCCCCAAATAGACTCTGATTCAGGCTTTAGATTCCCTGCAGGGATTTTGCAGTAGGCTTTTAAGTGGGTCAAAAATATTTGATCCGTGAATCTGTTAATCCGCCGATCAACTTTGGTTGTGATTGTGTCCTTAGATACAGTTTGATATATGAATGCATAGGTGAAAAAGGTGCAGTTGACTTTGGGTATTAAGAAGTAAAGCATCTAAAATAAAATTAAACTCTGTTTTAGTGGAGTATTTTGCACTACTTTTTTGTCTCTCAAATTACTTGCCTCTCAAAGAAAATTTTTGTTCTTTTGATAGATGTGAAATCTGAGTTGGTGGTTGACTTTCTACTTTCACTTATATACTTATGTTCACTCATCCAGTTTGAATGATATACTAAATATTTTTCTCTAGAATATTTAAAACAAGATGTCCTGTTGAGAAAGGTAATTAGAGCACCTTTGTATTCAACAACATTTGAATTCAAAACTTTCCATTTAAGATACGCACGATTGTGATATACACTTAATATCCATCTGGATTTTATTTTCTTTGCAGCAAGAGGCCCATGCCAGAGAAAAAGAGTTTGAGCAGCTTCTGACAGAGCACCGTGCTATTTGTAAAGAAATTGAGCGACAGAGCAGCCAAGGAGAGTTGGATATTCCAAAGGAGGAAGACGAGCTAAAAGTGAAAGAAGATTCAGAGAGCCAAGAGAAGGAGTCTAAAGAAAATGAAGCAAATGACAGTCCTAAAGCTCAGGAAGCCGGGACATCAACGTAGCTCATGTCATGAATTGAGGCTGAATTTTCAGATAGTTTGTCAGTTAAGGAGGTTGTTCAAACACTAATCAGATACATTTCACAGACATTAAATTTGACATTTGTGACAGAAAAAATTCCTACAAAAGTCATTATATGGAGTGTCATATAACTTGATATAAGATAAGCTGTATCAGAGCTAAGAGAAGAAAGTCAGCTTATGTCCAAGAGTGAGCAATAAAGATATTTATATATGATACCATGTAATAGCTGGCTATTGAAGAGTGTTCAAATGATCATAGAACATTAGATTATGACAGCAATACTTGGACTCTGAGGTGTGGTGCAAAGGATTGGAAGATCTGTTTGAAGAGTTTTGAAAGCACCTGTGCGCTATGTATGATACCAAGTCTCAGTGCTCATATACACATAACCAGCGTCTGTATAAATATCATTTAAATTAATTGTAAGTGTTTGTGAGCCAAATTAGAACTTTTAGTTTTTTTGTCAACTCACATTGTTTTGTTGACAGGTGGCATATCGTGATTTCATTACTGTGCTACTTGCAGTGCCTTACAATATCACAAAAAAAAACATCACTACTTGTACTTTGTGTACTTTATCACAATCTATGGCACTTTTGGTTGATATATGAACCTGCTCACAACATTGCTATATATATACATATATAACTGAGAGGAGGAGGAACAGAGAGACATATTCAGTAATACATAATATCAGAATCATAGCTGGAACTTTATTATTGTTTTAAGCATAAAAATAATTTTTGTTGAAAAAATTTAATTGTTTGCACGAATTTAGTTTTTAACTAAATGTCAGTCTGGTAAAAATCTCAGTGTGGAGGGAGATTAATCCAGTTTCCTCACACTTACATTGTTAATGTTTAATTGTCAATTTAACATAAAAATCTATAGTTCTGCCTGTTTAGAATTATACAGTAACATAGTTAGTCACAGTGATTCTTCTCTAGCAAATTTATCTTGGTTTAAGTTGTATATAATGCATTGATGTATGTGTGTATGTCATCGTGTGTGTGTGTGTGTATGTATATATATGTATGCAGCTGAGATTCAGTTACTACAATATTTTTGTGACTTGAGTTTTAATCCATGAAAAGGTCTCTACATAATGCAACACCTTAACACTTGAAACATTGAATGGCTTGGCTATGATATGGCATTCTTTGAATTTATAATATGCATATGAATTTGGAATCATGTAATTGTAGGTACGTCACTAGTTTTATACAAATTTGATTGGGCCCTAGTTTGACATGAGCTAATACTAGGACATTCATTCCAGTGAACATGTATGATGAATTTACCCAGAAATGTTCTATCCTTTAATAACATTCACTGAAATGATCACTTTTCTTCTAAGTAACTTGAAAGTGAAAATTGATCAATAATGTGGAAATCTGTTGGAAAACCATTTTGTATTATTACATGTAAACATAAAAGAGAAGCTGGGGGAATCTGTTAATTAGCCAGTTTGAATTACTTATATGAATAGATTGATGTGCTGCTATGGCTTATTTGAAAATTTGGTTTCTTGTGATGTGATCTGCTAAAGATAATCTAAGAGACACATTCAAAAACATTAGACTGTATCATTCTAGATCAGAGCAAAAAATACATTCAAAACCTCTATTTTGTCATGCGTAATCAAACACTGGTGCTACACGAGTTTGTTTTAGTGTCATTATGTATTACAGAGCACTTAAATTTCATACTGAATTTTCTATTTTCACCAATGGTGAAGTCATGAATCTTCTGTTCTGAATTAAGTTTTATGAAATGGAACCAAATGGTTATACAAATAATTGCTGCTTAAAGGGATAATAACTCTGTGTGAGATCTATATTTCACAATAAAAACATTGTGAACAACTCAGAAATATATTGTTTTACCACAAAAATGGCAGTTATAGCTATTAGTCTGATATCTGAGCTTCTCTTTAGACCACGTGACCTCCATTGATAGCTATACTCTGTTATAATCTCTTAAGAGATTATAACAAAAAACTAACTTTTTAGAAAAAAACCAGGGACTAACTTTGAATGTAAAAATGGATTCATTAACCATTGGTAAGTATGGGAAAATTGTTGTTTACTCTAGTAAAATTCATTTTTTAGCCAAAACAAAGAGTTATTAGCCCTTTAACATCAAATGTGAATTAGGATGCGAGGCTGAAGTCCAGCCTAAAGGGCACATTTTGTCAGATTGTTTTTGAGAAGACTTGAGTTTTGAGATGGAAGAAAAGCAAATGTAGTTGGGTCAAATTTGTCATGTGTGCTATATGCTCTGTAAATAGGAATGTAATAAGATCCTAATTCTACTAAGTTCTTGGCATTTTGTTTCATACCTTGTGGTGTGTACCTTGCAATAAAGTGCTACTATTACAGAATTTATGGTTATCCTTTTTTATCTGCAGATACTGATGTTGTGTAACCTTGACCATTTTCATCTATTCACAGTGTTAAACAATAACGCCAAACCATTGTTTTTCTTGAAATTTTAGTGATATATTTTACGGCAATGGTTAAAATGCAAGTCAAGTTTAAAAGATATGCATAAAATGTAATTGTTCGTGGTTTGTGATTTTACCTTATACAATTTGGTTTGCCCCTATATTATATAACAGCAAACTTATGACCACTGATGAGTGCCTTGTTTCAAATGATTAAAGTGGAATATTTTGATGGAATTAGCAAATCAATTTAAAATTTCAGTTCATAAACGTTTCGTTGAGGAGAATTATGTGGATCATCAGGTCTACCACTTAGGGTGCACTCACAATGTAACTATTATAGTAGGTAGTTTGAACTAACTCACAAGAGTGTGGACTCTTGCTGAATGCAATCCGATTAACAAATTAATTTCAGCCCACCGGAGTACTGCAGTTGATTAGTTTCTACTTTAACATGTGCCCAGAACCATACCAGGGACTTCCCTTCCCAATCTGAAATACCATATATCTTTTCATTTGCTCCCAATGTCATCGTGGCAGACACATACTAACAACAACAGCATTATTTTAATAGAACAACACATAATTTATTCACAATGTTATGTACAATCTATTTTTTAATGAACTGACCCTTTCTTACAATGCTAAGAAAAATTAAACTTGGTGGTGTTGGAAGGAGTAGGAATCTTTTATCCTTACACCAACTTAATTCTGACAATAAGAGCTGCAGTGTAGATCCATAATACCCACTTTTAGTCTGGGTTCCCATCCCTAGATCGATCTAACAGGATCGGTCTATCTCCACAGGGTTTCTCGCTAAATTGCTTTCAGCTTAAGTGGCTTAGATGTCTGGGACGCCTACTAAAGCTGCTAAGCAATAGTTAATTACCCACTATGAGCTTCAGTAGGCGTGACAGACATCTAAGCCATCTAAGTTGATTGCAATTATCTCCCCTTGGAGATATTTGATCCATAGTACGATAGGGTCTGGGAATGGTCTCATAGTACAGGGAATTGGATACACAAAAAAAAAAAAAAAGCATAAAAGCTCCGAGTAGCAGTTGTATTTTGCAAAAACAAAAAAACACACTGACAAATCGNTAGAAAATAGACATTGCATGTGAACGAAGCCTTAGTTTCTACTTTAACATGTGCCCAGAACCATACCAGGGACTTCCCTTCCCAATCTGAAATACCATATATCTTTTCATTTGCTCCCAGTGTCATCGTGGCAGACACATACTAACAACAACAGCATTATTTTAATAGAACAACACATAATTTATTCACAATGTTATGTACAATCTATTTTTTAATGAACTGACCCTTTCTTACAATGCTAAGAAAAATTAAACTTGGTGGTGTTGGAAGGAGTAGGAATCTTTTATCCTTACACCAACTTAATTCTGACAATAAGAGCTGCAGTGTAGATCCATAATACCCACTTTTAGGCTGGGTTCCCATCCCTTGATCGATCTAACAGGATCGGTCTATCTCCACAGGGTTTCTTGCTAAATTGCTTTCAGCTTAAGTGGCTTAGATGTCTGGGACGCCTACTAAAGCTGCTAAGCAATAGTTAATTACCCACTATGAGCTTCAGTAGGCGTGACAGACATCTAAGCCATCTAAGTTGATTGCAATTATCTCCCCTTGGAGATAGTTCGATCCATAGTACGATAGGGTCTGGGAATGGTCTCATAGTACAGGGAATTGGATACACAAAAAAAAAAAAAAAGCATAAAAGCTCCGAGTAGCAGTTGTATTTTGCAAAAACAAAAAAACACACTGACAAATCGCATAGACTCTAAAATTTGGCCTCATCTAAACTCCTCCATTTCACACCTTCAAGTGCCAAAAAACCAAATAAATATACTATTTCTTTGACAAAAAATAGCTTTATTTTCACTATCCCAAGAGATAATGTTAATACTTTGCTTACTTATCTTTTACCAAGTGTCTTCTTCTCAAAGAACACATTTTATGCCCAGTCTGCATGAACCTGGTTTTTCACGATACAATTCTTATATAGAGTACATTGGAATAAAACAAACATTTGAGTGGGATATCATTTAGATTGGTTTCAGCAATTAACTATTGTCATCAACATAAGCCTCTTGCTGCAGCAAGGCTGGATGTCTGTTGTTTATAGCATAATATTTTGAAATCAAGTTTGGCACGAATTGATAACAAAAAGCAGATAAGAATTTTTGATGAGAAGAACTGATGCAGAGGCTTCTTAACCGTCTTCACACACAGCAGTACAGTGATTAAAACAACATTTTTGATAACTGGAAATGGAATGCTAAATATGATTACCAAGTAACAATACATTAAATAGTAAAACCCACAATACAACATGAAATTTAATTAATTAAAGCATAGCCTAACTAGAATCTAAAAGCAGAAACTAAAGCCATTTTCAGCTGTTCTTTTCTGAAAGACCCTCCAACAAAACTTAAAAATAAACCCTGCATCCCTTCCAGATATCTCACTACCTGACACCAAATACTAGAATTAAGGATTCCTAATTAAATACACCATCCCTTATCCTGTAAAAAATGTACAGTGCAGATATCTATCCCATTCCACACTTATTCCTGAGAGCTACACAGCACTTGAATCACATCTTTCCATTGCATCCATGAACTTAAGTAAAATCCAAAGCATGCCTCAGTCATGATTTGAAAAAATGCATTCAATTTAATTAATTTCAAACATTTCAATCTCAATGTCATTCAATTATCAATTAAAAAGTAAATATGACCTTGAGAAATGTTTTATATGCACAAGTCTTTGCTGCCTTTCTGTTGAATAAACCTTACATAAACAATGTTTAAACAATATACAACATTCATTCAGTTTGCTTCTTTTGAAAAATCTACACTTAAGAACTTGGTGAGCATCATTCAATAGAAAGAAAATGTTTCCATAATTCATGATTTTCCGAAAATATATACTGCACAGGGCAAAGAGATATGCCAAGTTTTTGAACTATGAACAAAAAATAAAAATCCACTAAACAATAGGTCTTATCAACTTTCTATCAGAAGAAAGTAAAAGTGTGACATAATTGGACTCTAGATTTTCTATACCACTTGTGTTATAAACTATCATAAGACAGGAAAAACCTCTTGGAGCTTAAGAAAATTCATCTTATCAACTATCTATTCTGTTCAATCTCTTTTTTATTTTGACTCAGTGCTAGACTACCTAAAGTGATCCATTCCATTAAATCTATGCCAATATCCCTTAATGTGTGTAATCAAATGATCAGGATTTTCAAAACCCTGATAAACAAAATCCTGAAAATGGAATCAATAAAATCCATTTCTACACCAAAACTCACATAACTGCACGAAGAAGTTAATTAGTGGCATCTCCAATGAATCAAACAAGACCTTCTAGGTATATAAAAGCAAACCATGTGGAAGTGAATCTGACAGTTATATGCCTCTTCTTCCATTGTGACCTTTACAAACATCAGTTGCATGCCAAATTTAACCCAACATCCTGTAACAACATATCCAACTTCATCAAAGTATTTCATGCAAGTTATGAGTTTGTGCATATCAACCTTTCTAAACAACAAAGATCCCTGGACTCTGCCTGATCAGAGCTAAAGAGAAGAGATATACGACCACAATTGAATGAAGCCTAGAGTGTGAACACGCATACACACAACAGGCGCATTCACATCTGCTCTATGCAGAGTGAGCCGAACAGAAAATGACTATTTCTTTTCTTACTGCCCCTTCTTTCAATGATTTTACCCTTCACAACTACACTAAAAACTTCACTCAAGAAGTAGACAATTTCTTACAAGAACGATATGTAACAGACCTACTAACAGAGCAACTAACATTTTGACTAACTTTTCACTAACTACAGCAGCAGGATTGACCTTGGAAAAAAAAACCCTGCATATTTATTCATTATCACTCCTAAGCATATAATACAACAATTCTGATATTTTAAATCTTAATTTCTAAATAAACTGATTATTTTCAATTTTTGAAGGCACACCTGTAAGAAAAATCATGCCGTAGACCTGCTGCAGCAAGAAATACCACAATGAATGAAAAGCTGCCTTTCAAAGTGTTGTCTTCGTTCTTAATTTTTTAATGAGATAATTGCAGAAATTACAAGAATGCAGTGATACATAACACTTCAAAAAGCCTCAAAGACAATATGTGCTAGAGATTCATCAATTATCATGAACATCAAATTTGCTTTTAAGCTACTATCTAACTCATTCAACAAGTCTCGTGCAGGTGAACCCAAATAGAATGGAATAGAGGGAAAAAAACTCATCAAAGTTACTTGGTACATGAAAGTGTACTACCTAACACATTATTTGGTAATCGTAACATAGGAACCTATAAAGCAACATTATTTATCAGTAGTTTGTGTCAAACTTGTCTGAGAAAAAGACTTAAACATTAGATATCTTGACAAATGTTATCCAACAGTAACTTAGTCATGAAAAGGGACATATTTAATATTCCATTATACCCGGAAATTTTTTTGAAAAGTCTTCTGTAAGACTTGGCATCCTGTTCACTAACCATCCACAAAATGGTATTTGGACACATCAGTAAAAAGAAACATTAAGCCCTTTGAGAAAGGAAACAAATGGGGATCAACTGAGACAGTCTAAAGCCTTTAGACTTGTGACTTAGTGTAAAATCAAGTGAGTTTCCACACAGTTTCACCCTTATCACTGAAAAGTTAACCCCATCTTACAAGGATTCTTGCAAGTTTCCCAGTTTTGGGTGACTTAAGGAGTGCTGATAGCCTCCTTTGAGTCTATCTCAGAGGATCCCCATTTAAATTTTCCAATTGTTTTCTACTAGATTTAACAAATTTCTCATACTGATGTGTGAAATGATATATTAATAGAACTAAGTAAAGCGTTAACATGCATCCTGCCATATATATGGCAAACAAACAAACAAACAAACAAACAAACAAACAAACAAAAAACTGACTTGATGATTATTACCAAACTGTCTAAATCCAAAATTACATTAACAGGAACCTTGTACTCTATTAATTTCAATTTATCAAAATATTTTCAAGCTAAAGAATATCACAATAAATTTTATAATACATACATACAATATACTGGAAAAGAAGACCAGTTCCTCAATTGTCAACAACAAAACAAAAAGGAAAAGAAGAGTTGGTTGACTAAAGATAAAAGTTGGAAACAGACAAAAATTATAAACCACAAGAATAAAGTGTAAACATCATAAAAGCTAGACATTAAATATACATGTCAATAAATTAATTTAAAAGCTAACAATAACTGGCTGAATAAAACCACATACAGTAATGATGATTATTTATAGTTCCTTCAAACACCATTTGATTCTTTCCTGTTTCTAAAAGAAAAAAAAAAAAAAAAAGGTGGGAAATGACTACTTTAACTAAGCTAAGGGCTAAATGTCATATTGGGTCTCATTTTCTGCAGCTTCTGTGATATCAACCACTGCAAATAGCAGTTGATCATAAAACAGATATTTCATAAAAGGGAGCAGAGGCATTCTGTTTCCTCAAATTATTTTATACTTTTGTCCTATATAATCGCAAATAACAATGACTAGTGTCGAAAAGTGGCATACATGTACATGTATTTATAAAAACAATTAAACAACAAACAAAAAGATTATTGCAAAATTTAAAGCATGTTCCTTTATCTTTTTTGTGTCACACATTCAAAACAACTTCTCATTACATTAACAAAACATATCTCATAATTTGGTTAATCACCATTTTTGACTTTCAAAAACCTGAATTCAAAGAGTCACAAATTAAATATTTAAAAAAAAGTACAACAACACAAAACACACACCTCCCCAGTATGACATACAATATTGAACATAAAGGTAACCATTTTCTGTTACAAACATTTAACTGAAGAAAAAAAACCCAAACAATCAAGGAGTTCCCAGCAATATAAGATAACTTCCAAACACAAAATACCATCCTAACAAGCCATAACTATCACTATTCTCTTCTTGTACGCTTTGGTCTGGCGCCACCCACTTCCACATCAAATCCCCTCTTACTGGTGTGTTTTAAATGGACTTGAGATTGGGCTGTCAGCTGCAATTTAATGGCACTAGCGTTCATTTTAGTTGCTGTTAGCAAACTCTTTAGTCCTTTCATTTTCTCACTGTGCAGCACAAGTCCATGCTGTCCATTGGCTGCTGCAGTCAGACCAGAAATCGGTGTCTCTCTCTGTGACCTGGCACTGGCGGGTCTGATCATTCCTTTGAATAACTTAAAATCTGCAGGGCTTTCTGCCTTAAGCATAGAGTCCATGGTCATGCCTGCAAAAGGACTGCTGTTGGTTTTAGAGCTCAAAAATTCACTGATTTCAACTTTAGCTTCACTGTTGAAAGGTTCGCCACTCCCCAACAAGTAGTCTGGGTTGAGAATAGATTCTCCACATGCCTGTGCTAGAGCTGCAATGTTAGGGTTAGGTGTCTCATTCTGCGAACCCTCACCCACCTTGGATGCTAGTTCCTCGATAGTAGACTTGATTTGTTCTTCTTTTTTATCCTCCTCTGACTGTTCTGGGAATTTTGCCTTTTCCTGATTATTTCTCACTTCTCCACCACCATTCACAGCATTGGTCGGGGCCTTTTTGGGTCTGCCCCTTCCTCTTTTAAGGACTTTACTTTCACCAACTAATTCTTTTGCTACAGATGACACCCTTTCACTTTTCACTTTATCCCCCACTGCTTTTTCTTCTGCCTCTTCATCATCTTCTTCATCATCATCATCTTCATCGTCCTCCTCCTCCTCATCCTCACCATCTCTTTCACCCTCAGCATGAACTTCCATATTTTCTCTGACTTTGGGGTCAAATCTGGACAGAGTGTAGACCAGCTGCTGTGCCCAACCCACATGTAACACTGGAGTGGAACTGCCTTCCTCCCACTGACATATCCCATCATAAAACTGGAGCAGGTACGAGTAGCAGTCAGGGTCATGGAGAATGTGTGTCTGATTGTACTGGCTAACGGAGGGTGCTGCAATCACCACTGCTGCATCTTCTAGTCTGGGTTTTGATTGTGTCTCAGCAGATGTGACAGCTCTCACAATATTTGGTATCATGTCATTGGCAATCTCCAAGAATTCTTTGTATATTTCTTCATCTTCCCTGTTGTAGTTGAACCTATAAAATAGTAGAAGTCAAATCATATATACAGGTAAATGCATGCACTAATATTGAATCAAACTTAAAAGTACCAAGTATGGACTAAAATCGCAGCTAAGAGTATCTATTCATTCTACCTCGACTAAAAGAATGTGTTGTTCTGGAGAATGTGAATAACAGAGGTTTTTTTTGTAAATTTTATAACCAAATATTATAATCAAGGTCTTTACTGTACCAGGTACATTGGAAAGATACATGCACAGGAAACAAGAAGCAGTTTCTTTACAAGAATAAGAGCTTGCATTTTCATATTAAATTTTGGTTTATATCCTAATAAATATTTTAGTATCAATATATCTTGACATCAAAGAAAACTGTTTGTAAAGCTTCACAATTTATGGAACAGAGCAAATAATTACAGTTTTATTTTTAAAATTAAGCAATTATTATAAAAAATGATACTGAGATAATGGTATCAAAGAGCAAAAAGGTTGATTTTTACAAAATGTCCCCACAACATAAAATAACAACTCTGGATGAAATGCCTCATGTTCTGTTAAAATATCCACTACACCTTATAAAATTATCACAATTATCAAAATAACATAAAGATCACAAATCAACACCATGTACGTGATCAGGAGGGACCTGAAAATTGGCAATGCTGTGCAATTATCCCAGAAAAGTTAAAAAACAAAGTGAAAAAAAATAAAATAAAATCAGGAAAAAAAACCTGAAAAAGGACATATAACAAACCTTTTGATAACACTTGCTGCATCTGCCCAGTACTTCAATGCTTCCTTGTAATGCTTCTTCCTGTACATGTAGGCAGCCATGTAGGTGTATGGATACACATGATGATTGTCGTAGTATGTTCTAGCAGTGTCTATGGCTTCCTTGAACAGTTCGATGGGGGTGGGTCGACCTGAAGTGGGCTGAATTTCTTCCAAATCTCCTAGATTTCCAAGAGCCATAGGGTAGCTAAAGAAAACATTGAACTCGTTGTTGTTTATTATTTCAAAAATGACAAATGACTAGAAAAAACTCAGAGAGCACAAACCTCTGAGATGACAGTTCAATTCTCTATATTAATTAATTTATCTTATGGTAATGAATCATCACCAAAATCTAAGCAATTCCAAGTTCCTGAGTAAGCCTGGAATTTTATCAAAATCCATCCATAAGGTTTAAAGTAATTCTCTTAAATGAAACCATCAAAGCTAAAAATATAATCTCCATACACAAAGTGGGGGTAAAGAAACAAAAATTTATTTTCATCTGAACTAATTCCTGGAGGGGCCTCATCTGCATCAACCTGACAATGGTCCAGGTCATAAAAATTCAAAGTTCATTTGCTCAGCAATTAATACTGAACATCCCAAATGAAAGAAAAAGTATCCTTGTCCTTATGACTCACCGTTTCAGAAAACCCATGTCATACAACAGCCATAGCAGTTCCTATAAAATAAAATATCAAATAGTCAGTCACACGTACACTCATCAGTCAGACAATGTATTATAAATTAATGTACTATTATGTAATTTATTCAGGGAGTCCAGATGCAAGGCAAACATCTCACACTTTTGCATAACAATATCACATTGTTTGATGACATTTGTCCATTATCAGCACATCCTCTACTTGAATTACAAGCATATCAGTAAATTGGATATTTTGCAGAGATGCACTTCCTCAAACTAATCAACCATTATCTGACAAATCCGGAACTAATGACATTGAGTCACCTCTGACAACAGTTTGGAAATCCTGACCTATAAAAGTGTGCTTAGTTTCAAATAAGATATCAAACTGACTTAAATCAAATCGGTGTATTCTTTTTAAAAATAAAGAAAAGAAGCAAATAAATGCTGATATTTAACATTTCTGAAACTACCATTTAAGCATGACTATAAATGAATGAGTATGGATGCAGGTATCATATAATATATTATTTGTTCTTTTTTCTATGGCATTTGCATTAGTAAATGAATATCAACCTTTATAACAGTAAGAGTTTTCAATGAAAAATCCATTATCGATGTGCATTTTATAAGCAATGCTTTCAACAACTAGTTACAATGCGCACATTCATAGGCAGTTTTGATTTATTGTTCATATATGTAGGCTAGGGCTAATTGAAAACCCCATGAGAAATAACCACAAGCAGCAGAAATATCCGATGACTGCCTGCCCACACAGAGAAGATAAGGTTTGCACATACATATAAAGTTTCATCACATGTAAATGAAAATAAATTTACTGTAAAAAGTGATCACATTTGATCACTTTACCTCCAACTTTCCACTGTAAAGGTGAAATTAAATAGTTCTGTAAAAACTTTACATACAAGCATGATGCACTCCCCCCCGCCCCCAAGTTATTAAGCAAAATCTCACCTGTTGCAGGTCTCCCAACTCTACACTATCTGTGCTTGCATTAATGGAACAGTTGATACCAGAGACCAGAGAGGCTACTTCTAGTTTTCTATCACAGACTACAGGGTGTCCATTAAGGTACAACCAACTCTTCTCAGCCACGCCCATACTAATTGACTGACCTCTCTTGTCTTCATTTCCCTTGCCTTCAACAAACAGAAAAAGGTTTCCACTTTTTATTTCATGAATGGGTCAAAGAGAGCAAGAATATGCATTTATTTCACTTCATTTGATTTTTTAATTAATAAATATACTGCAACAGAATCAAACGACAGTTTAATACATACAGATATATAACAATTGTTTATCGGTTATCAACTTTTACAAAATTGCTTTTTGACATTTAATCACAACATAGGTTTAATATTTCGTTTTTGCACGTACAGCATATGTAATAATCAAGCAGGAAAAGTTTTTAATACAGGTGTGCGACATAATACAATTCATTAGTTCTTTGATATCGACTAATTACTACTAACATTAACATTTACTTTCAACTTAACAATATTGAGAAAATTATCACTGTGTGAAGGATATTACCATGCCAGGTAACCTCTGCTGTCTCCTCTCCGTTCTCCCCAAACACAACCCAGGCATGGTCTTCTGAGAGAGCTAGGTGGACATCGGTCAGTCCAAGGACCTGGCAAGCTGCCACAACTGAATAGGCAAGGCCAAAACAGTCCAATTTGTTACCTAGAACAAACAGCAAGCACCACTTAAGAATATCAATAGGGAAACATGATTCTTATCAGAATTCCCCATATTACACCATTTTTCTGGAAACTAGCCAAGACTTCAATAACAAAACTGAGAGAACCCTCCCAGAAAGAATTATCAATCATGTACTAGGATTACTAAGGTGATTATGAATAAGAATGTAATCGATTCACTGTTAAATGCAACAGCAGAGACTAAGAGTTCTCTTTATAAATACTTTCTCTGATAATCATCAAAACTAAATGTTGATGGATATGCAGTCACATTTTCCAAAAAAATCAAAGTTGTGCATCATTTCATGCCGTCTGTGCCAAACAAAATGGGTACGAAAATTTATAAACTGCTCATATTAAATAATTTTCATTTTAACACTAGCACTCATAAATTTCATTATGGCCGGGCTATCTGTACACCCATTTCGTTTAATACTAAAGCATACTCTTTTATCTTAGAACATTAAAAGCACAGGCACAGCTTGCTTTTGTTTTTCACTTACAGATGGATTATTACATAATGCTTACACAATATATACACATGCATCTGAAAAATTAGTTTTTCACTTACAGATGGATTATTACATAATGCTTACACAATATATACACATGCATCTGAAAAATTAGCCAATAAAATGTTTCAAGGGTTTTCCAAAATTAAATTTTGGAATTTAAGAGGGTATTCAGAACAAGTTGATCCGCCGACTAACAGATCCGCAACTAAATATGGCTGACTCACTTAAAAGCAGCGCCCGTCTAATCCCCCTGATGGCCTCCCTGCCTCCACACTTGCCATCGCTACAGGATCCTAGCAATTAAAACTTGGCGCTAAGATTTATTCCGTTTAATGGTACACGTGGAGGTGGGGAGACCATCAGGCAATTAAGTGGTGCTGCTTTTAAGTGGAGGCAGCCATATTTAGTTGGCAGATCAGTTAGTCTGCGGATCATCTGTTCTGAATGCGCTGTAAGTAGAATTATTAACATTGGCTTCCAGGGAGTAACACAATACATTTGTTACCTATCCTAAACTCAAAATAAGAGGAGACAGATGATTTTGTCAAACTTTTATCAAAATTATTTTTTAACACTTAGAAAACAAATGCTGTTGACAATACTGAAATAATGTGAAACTTCAATAACATTTGTTTTGAAAAAAGTCAGATTAAAAATGGTGGTCTAATTTATTTATAACTGATATAACTGGAATTCCAATAACTGGTCCTATTACACACAACCACAATGATTCCAACCTAATAAAGATTGCTCATGTTCTATATAAACCCCTTGGTTCTAAACTGTGCAACCAATTCCAGTGGTTATTATGTTTGGCTTCTGACTCAGCACAATTTAGCACCACATTAGGAAGTGATCTACTAAAATAAAGATCAGAATAATTAGATTTTGGGTGCTGTGAATGTGGTTTTTCTTTTGCAAGGGTTTTAAAATGGTCAAATTAATGAGATTATCAGGAAGTGATTCAAGCGCTATCTTCTATAAAAGTAAAAAAAAAAAAGGATAGGAAGACACGCCATCTGATACAGTGGAGGTCTTGTCTGCTTAATGTCCACTAAGGGTTCATTCCCAAAGACACTATTTATTTAGGGAGATAGATCCAACTCTTTTGGAAATCTTGTTGAATGCAATCAGATAAACTGAATGGCACAGGACACATCTCCTCCTGATATTAAATAGAACACAGAAAAGCTGTTGACTATACAAGTACATTGGAAACAAAAGGCAGTATGATAATCTATTACACTGATTGCATTCAGCAAGAGTACCGGAGTAGGATCAATCTACACAGACCTAGAAATTGAAAGTTTTTTCAAAGACAGACAGTTTTTTATTAAATAGCACAGGCCTTAACCCCCAGTCAATGAATGACCATTTTGATGCACTATAAGTATTTCATTTCATTTTTGTTGGAAAAATTTAGATACTCTTGTCCCCTCTCCCCCTAGACTGCCACTGATATAGAGGATCTAGGAAAATCGAAGAGAGGTCCCCTCTTGGCTAATTAATTAAGGTGGCTGTCTTACACAATATGTAAGTACTGCACTAACATCTCATCGAGGGGAAACAAGACTTCCAGAAGTGGCGAGGTGAACCAATTTCTAGAACCTTAACCATTGGGAGAGTAGGAAAAGAAAACACACAGTTCAGGATTTATTCACATTAGAAATTACTGTTTAAATAGCTGTGATACTATGATAGAAAAGGATTTTACAAATGGGTATGTCAATATTAAGGATAATTTGTAAATTTACTTTCTACACAGCTACAGGTGCAGTGGTCAGCCATCTGTACATGACACTTATGCTGTTTAGTAAGGCTAAGTATGATTGCCTTTTTCTTTAGCCTATGACTAACAGATTGCTGACAATTTACCTCCCAGAATTGTAATTGCATATATTTCATGACACATGTAATTATTTTTCACATGCATAAAATATCATCTGAAAAACATGATAACATTAACTTTTCTGTTTTCTTTTTCATTCTTGATTTCATGTTTTTTTTAATGAATGGCACAGAGTCAGAGTGGTACCTGTAACCATAAAGAAACCTGAGGAATGTTTGCAACTGTGCTGATGTTTGCAAGTGAACAGAGTTTTCATGTTTATCAAAACTAACATAATCAATAAGCTTTGTAATAAAATGGAACTTGAGGAGGTGAGAAGTAAGGCGAGAACTGATAGTATATACATTTCAAGATAAAAAAAATTAAATACCACCTGAATGTTACTTTCATCTTTCACTTTCAGGCTAGTAATATGAGCATTTAAAAGTAAAAGGCAATGCAACAGGCTGATTATTCGTCATAAACTCCCACTGACACTGCCTTAATACACTTATTTGACATTTCACAAAACCACCAAATATGAACATGTTTAACCGCAGATACACAGTGTACAAGTAATCAATATGACGAACTGCGTATATACCCGTCAATAAACTGTACAGCGTCTGCAGGTGGGCTTTATCCTTGTAATAACTCCTTGACAGCGAGTTCCAAACCACGTCTGACACTCTTTTGATTAGCTGCCTTGTTGTTTTCCCCGCTGGGAATTGTGTCAAGTCTACTGATCCCCGTATCAAGCTCTCAAACCTACAGTACAGAGCTTCAACCGTCTGCAGATCAATGATAGGGAAGATCGGCTCCAAAGTTTTTGACAGATCAACGTTCTGTGGGAGTGCCCTGTTGACTGTCAGCGTATGTTCTATACTTCCAATAATAATAGACAACAGTGCCAAGTTAGGCTCATCTGTACAATGTAACTGGTCTCTGAATAACCTTACAACTGACTCGATACTTTGCAACGGAAAATGTTGTTTATCTCGATCGCGGAAGCCCGCCATCTTGAAATTGAACATGTGTGACGTATAAACTCTCGATGACAAACTCTTAGTCATTTTCGTAAATTACTCAGCTTTTTCATTAATTAAAATCTTTTAAAAATACAACAATTTTATTCGTGCTGTTGTAATTGCATACACAATTAAATGAAAACTTAAAAAACGGGGTACAAACTATTTTTCTTTCGCCAAAAAGCACTTTGTACAATGTGCTTCCGCTTTCACTCATATCGAGGCTAAATCTTCAACATGGCTGAGAAAGAAGTGAGTGCCGCTGAAGGTGCGAGTAATAATTCCTCAAATACTGAAGTTGCTGCTACAGATGGCGGGGAAAACAGCCAAGAGACACAGGTACTCAAACGGTGTACACTTATGATTGTTCAGAATTTATACATGTGCGTCATAGATTGTTAAATATTAAAGGCTTACCTTCAAAATCTGATTACTTTTGCCCATCCTGAATGTCATTGTCATGCTTTGGGTTGATGGCAAAGGAACTGTACTCTAAATGAGACTTGAGATGTGACATGAATTGTTTTGATTTTATGAATTATACAAAAATAGCCAAGGCATTGGGTTGGGTACTGAACTATGAACACCATCCACACTGTAAATTCAACTTATTTTTTAAAGAATAATAATCAACCAGGCTGTAGCACTCCAAGTAATGTTACATCAAAAATCAGCAAGTGATATGCAAAACTATTTTATTTTAATAACATGGACATTGATCAAAGTCACTGCATATCTGAATTTAGAAAGAGAAATGAGATATCAGACTTACAAGTAGAAGTGTTTTTGTTTCTTTTATACCCAAGGTCATTTATATGTTCTGGTGTTAGATTGAATTCTAAGAAATGCCCCTTCTCATGCTGAACAAATCAATATTTTCACTCTTCAATCTGTTTTCCAGGCAGCACCCCAGCAACCCCAGGCAAATGGCTGGAGCATGGTGAAAGGGTTTTTCTTCCGCTGTCTCGTCATTTATTTCATAAGCAGTCTTTTCCGTAGAGGTCAGCAACCACAAATGACCACCACTCCTGATGGAAAGTCAGTCCCAATGCCTACCAAACTTGTGGCACATAATATCTTTGAAAAAGGACAAATGATGGTAAAGTATTGGGATTTTTTTTTCTGATGAGAATGAAAAATAAAGGGGACAGATAAAGACCAATTAAGTCATTGAAAGTACTTTTTTAATGTAATACATATATTTAATGTTTAGAAAAAAAAATTAAATATTGTCAATCTTTTGGAAGCCATATTTTATCTTTGGTATTTGGTATTTAATTCTAAATGTAAGGAAAAATGCAAGTAAGTGTTTTATTGATAATTATTGTTGTTAAATTCATCTAAATCTTGAAAGGTTTCCAAGCCTATAACTTTCTACCTGGTCTTTTTATTTACAGGATATGTATGTGTATTTATCTGAGGATGAAACATTCAAAGATTTTGGTAATCCAAAAGCTTTGTTTTGGTTGGAAGAAGATTTGGAGTATGGAGATTGGACTTCTGGGGAAAACAAAGATGGAACTTACACAAAGGAAGCAAGAATTAAAACACCAGAAGTAAGAGTAATGGATATTCACTATATTAAGTGAGAGTAAATGCCCTGTTACACATTAAATTTATTATTATCAGCATCTTTCACACCACCTCCAAAATCTGCATGCCAAAAGAACAGCCAAATTCACTCTCCATGCAGCAGAAAAAAGCTTTAAAAGTGCATGTTCTTCAAATTACTAAGGTCTGTCATTTATATTAATTTAAATTCATTTATATTTCATTGATATCATTGTTTTGAATTTCAGAGGGTAATGAATAATGGTTCTTTATATCTCCATACTTATTTTGTGAAAAGAGGGAACTCACCCAACCCAAAAGATAAGGATACATATGATAAATGGTCCACTATTTATAAAAAGAAAAGTAAGTCATTTTAAAATTGATTTTGAATAATCAAGTATGAAAAAAATTTGTTACCTTACAATACATTAAATCCTGTTTTTATTATATTATTCTTGATTTAACAAAAAAATTATTATATATATCTCAAATGTGATGCAAATTTAAGGTTGATTAAGGTTTAAGGTTGATTAATTTTTTACATAAGAATGTAAGATTTAGATAAGTATAGTGTATTGTCATTAATGAGTTTTATATAAGATTTAAAAAATGTATTTTTATCATTTGATAAACATATATGCCAATGTATTATGTAACTTCAGTGCTGAATAAGTACAAGAAAAGAAAATTCCATTCACTGACAAATTTGCTGACAGGACAAACAGAAGCACACCCAGATCTCATCCAGGTAGGTGAAATGACAGAAAACAATGCTATTATTTTATTTTAATGAAGTTAACACTCATTTACTTAAGTGTGTCTGGATTTGTCCGTTTATTTATTTAAGAATGTTGTACAATTACAGTTTGTTGACTGTCAGAATTGTAATAAATGTAATATAAGGGGATAGGAGTGCAAACATAGTGCCCCTGCCCTCCTTTTCACGCGTGTCACGGGAAGAAGTGATAATGGAGACATAGCTGATGTCAATTATTGTGAAGTGGTTAATTATATGATTTCAGAAAGAGAATGGTAGCAGCTTTGAGATTTTGTCTCACTGGCATCCCAACCTCACCATTAACTTACTGGAGGATTACACCCCCTGGACAGCAGGGGCAGTACCACAGCCACTGGATGAATGTAAGTATTATGTTATTATAGTGACACACTGTCTTATCATTATAATACAATGATGACCACACCCCCTGGACAGCAGGGGCAGTACCACAGTAACTGGATGAATGTAAGTATTATATTATTATAATGACACGTTGTCTTATCATTATAACACAATGATGACCACACCCCCTGGACAGCATGGGCAGTACAATGACCATTGGATGAAATTGTATTATCATAACAATTATAGTACAGTGATGACCATAGCATTAGTACACAACAGACTTAATCTTCAACTAAGTGACAATTGTGCTGTTTATTTAAATAAAATGAATATTGAATCCCAAATATTATTATGGAAGTTCAAACCACGATGATATGCTTATATTTATGAGAAAATGGCTAGACAAGTTTCAATGGATTTTCCTTGTTCTTCTTATGTGAACAATGAAGAATAAAATCATGCAGAAGTATCACTGGTATAATGATTTAATTACAGTTGTAGAATTCCTTCCTGATGGTTCTAAATACTTGCCAATCCTGTACTACAATGATTACTGGAACTTGAACAGTGACTACCAGCCTATCAACGACACAGTGAAGTACCTGAACATCAGTCTCACCTACAGCCCTATCACTCTGTTCAAGTGGCAGCTGTATGCAGCACAGGGCATGAGGAATAAGTGGTACAGCAGTATCCTGGGAGATGACATGGTGGGAGAGTCGGACGAGGAGCAAGACTCACTCAAGGTGAATGACACTCAGACAGATAATTTATTGAGGTTGGATATTTTAACACTAAAAGGAGAACCATGTTACTTATTGCTTCTTAGGACTCGTACTACCTAGAATTAAAAAAAACAGCCTGATTCAGAATAGCTTATCTTTTGCAAAGTATTTTTGTGAATTTTTCATTTTCCACATATTGGCAATTTTTTGTGTATTTTTTATTTGAGGGGGGGTGGGGGGGGGATTTATCATTCAAAATGTTATACTATATATGTTGCTCTTAAACAATCCATGATTATATATTGTCTTAGAAATTGAATGTCATTTTTTGTCTCTTCAGCGGACTTTCGTTGAGACAAACCCATACCTTTTAGCGCTGACATTTATAGTGTCCATTGTCCACAGTGTGTTTGAATTCTTGGCCTTCAAAAATGGTAAGCTTAAAAATCCACTGATGTCTTAGTGCGTTCTTAACTAATTTCTCACTACATGATTTCTGACCAGATATAGTAGTTACGAAAAATGTCTTCTCTTCAGCTATTTACAAACATATATTTTTACAAAGTTAGCACATAAAACTACAGTGATAAGAAATCCACAAATTCTTTTAAATATTCTCAACTCATTCATTATTTAAATTTTTATTCTTTTCTAGATATTCAGTTTTGGAAGAACAGAAAATCCTTGGAAGGACTCTCTGTGCGTTCAGTGTTCTTCAACGTCTTTCAGTCACTGATAGTGGTTTTGTATGTACTTGATAATGAAACCAACACAATAGTCAGGATCAGTGTATTCATTGGGCTGCTTATAGAGGTGTGGAAAATACACAAGGTCATGGACATCAAGGTAACCCAATATTGAGATTTTACATAAAATGGCTTTTTTGACAATGAGATATTAGCAATTATAATTTAACCACCATGAGAATGATTTGAATTTACCTGAAGTAGAAGATATTTTTGGCTCATGATGTACACTATGAACAGTTTACAAATGTAATGTAAACAGAATTGTTGGGATAGGTATCATTTGCTAGCACTTTGGTAAGAAATTGTCCCCTCTTTATTGCTTCAACAAAATGACTTTTATTTTTACAGACAGACCAAGAGAACAGAGTATTTGGCATCTTTCCTCGAATCTCCCTCCAAGACAAATCGTCCTATACAGAGTCCCACACAAAAGAGTATGATCAGGTAAGTGAAATTTGCATGAAAGTTAATGAAAAGCAATACATGCAGCACCCCATTAGGTTGTCCCAAAAATGTGCTCACTCATAAATTGTCCATTACTCTTCTATTTTATTTTGATTAACAATCCGATGAGTTAAAATATCATTAGAATAATAACATAATAACATGGCATAAAAGAAAATAAATGTTTTCAGAAAACAAACAAGCAAGCAAAAACATTAGTAATGGCCAGTCAAAGAATGAGTACATTTTTGGGACACTCTGTAGTTAAGAAATAAGACATTATATATAAGGTAGATAGTTTAATTCATCTTTAAACGTTTTAAACTTAAAAGTTTGAATTCCTGGCACTTTTCAAAAAGCCAGTTCTAGGAATACAAGTTAAAACTCGTGGGAAACAGACCTCTGTATCCCCACATGAAATAGTCAACCCATGTAGAATGAAACAACCTGTGCCAACTATTGTCATTTTTCTTATGGATGAATATAGGGGATTAATTGATGATTTATATTTAACATCCTTATGAATTTGCTGATTTTTTATATATATATATAATTATAATTATTATTCTGAATTATAGATGGCGTTCAAGTACTTGTCCTGGGCTCTGTATCCCCTGCTAGGAGGGTATGCTGTGTATTCTCTCATGTATGTGGAACAGAAGGGGTGGTACTCCTGGGTGCTCAGTATGTTGTATGGATTCTTACTCACATTTGGTAAGTTAACTGCTGTCATTGTTTTATTTGCATTGCAAGACCACTGTAAAGTATTTTACAGTTATTGCAATATTCTGAAGGGAAAAGTAATTTGAGTTTTGAATTCTCTTGTTTTATGGATAAAAAAATTAATAAATGGTAATGGATTAACGATAAGACCCATAAAATTTTGTATGCAATTTCAAGGCACATATAATGTCACAGTTAAATGAGAGATTGAACATAATCATATCTGGTTTTGTTTTTACAGGTTTCATTATGATGACCCCCCAGTTATTCATCAACTACAAGTTGAAGTCTGTTGCTCACCTGCCATGGAGAATGTTGACCTACAAGTTCCTCAATACTTTTATTGATGACATCTTTGCATTTGTCATTAAGATGCCAACCTTGTATCGTATAGGATGTTTTAGAGATGGTTAGTTTTTTTTCCTTAAAATAACTATGAACAAGACTGCTCTTGGTTGTAAAAATGTCATATTAAAAATTATTTGAATATTTTTAGATAAGAAATATAATATACAATCGATAAATGTTATCCAAAAATAATTTTGCAGATGTGGTCTTCTTGAAGTTTTTAGTTTAGGAAGAAAATACACAAGGTTGTTTGTTATATCTATCAAATTAAAATTTTTCAGATATAGTCTTCTTGATATTTATCTACCAAAGATGGATCTATAGAGTTGATCCATCCAGAGTGAATGAGTTTGGGACTTCTGGAGAAATGGAGGAGACTGGTGCAATAGGAGCTAATGGTGATGCTCTACCAGCTGTAGAAGATGGAGAGCCTAAGACCGAGGAGGACAAGAAAAGAGATTAGGACGAACAGTTCACCAGACCGGATGTGAAAAATGCTGTCAAGTTGTGGTACTGAATTACATCTTAGCCTGAAGTTGTATGCCACTGGACTGTTCTCACTTGGTGTATTCTCAATAGGTTCCCATGGACCATAGGTTCAGAACCTTAATGTAGTGAATGTTGTACTAACAGATATGACTAATGAAAATGGAAAAAAAACTTGGCTGCTTTTTGTGGACAAATCATTGATATGGTGAAGAATTGCCACAGTGACCCCAAATTTAAGACAATAATGTCATGTATGTCAACAAATCACCACGGTTCCTCTTTTGGCTGTGGTGTTCAGTATGCAAAATGCATAAACATCATCTTTTACAAAATCACCAAAGACAATACTTTTCTCTATTAATATACCTTTAAAAACAATGTTTGGATCTGTAAAATGAAGATGCATCTTTTTTTTTTCTCTCTAAGATGAAGTGCAAATTAGTAAGTAGTCTTCAACAATTTTTATAATTAATTGGTTCTTGATATATATATCATGGTATGTAATTTTAGGTAGTCTCTGTGGACAATAAAATATAAAAATACATTTTCAAGTCTATGTACTGAAAAAGGAATGGTGAAGGCTTATCAGAAAATAACCTGATTTAAAGAAGCTTGTCTTTGGGTCTATTTGAGATCTTTCAATGTTAGGCCAGTGGGAAGGAACTTATAGAGGGATAAAAAAAAAACCCAGAGGCTTTCCCTCAATTCCCATTATTACCGTGTTACGGGTTTTATGTCCTCCATACACTTGCCCCCATTCTCTGTAAGCCTAGAAATACATTGAATTTTGGCCAGAAAAGTACCCTTAGTTCTGGTCCTTGTCTTTTTTTAGATGAGTGTTAAACAGAGTCCATGCCCATTTATTTATCTGCAAAGTTATTTTGGGCTAGACTGTAATCTTTATCCTGTTAATTGTACTGCAATTTTGACAATGTGAAACAATATCAAATCTATAGCTAGTAAAAAATTCCATTTGATGGACTAACAACACCACAATCTGCCTCCACTGGGTCAATTACTCAATTCTCTACTGAAGATTGGTGGTGCCAAATTCAGATTATTTTTTAAATTGAATGCTTGGTTTATTTTACACATACCTGGGGCACGACATCAGTGTTTAAAATAATTTTTCTTCAAAAATTAAGATTGGCTTTCACCGTTTGTTAATAATGTAAATGCTATAACTCATGATCAACCTTACAGATCAAGTGTGGATTTAATAACATTTACAAGTATCGTGGGCTGAAAATCTTGCAATGTGAAGAGCATTGTTCTGCATAAAATGGAGGATAACGGTGGCCAGGTGGAATGTTGTGGGGAAGGGTGGGGTCTAGTTTAAATCCACTTTAATGTCAGTGTGTGCAGGCATGTGTGAAAGTCACTATGCAACACTTTCTTTTAGCATGATTTTGTATGTACTGGAGTTGTGTATTGTATTGTGCGTATTGAAAAATAAGCTTCAGTCTGCATGATTCTCCTGCAGGTTGCCTTCATTTGACTTTTACAGGAAACGCTGATTGGTTAAAAAATGGGATGAAGAGGAAAATGAACCAATCATTACCTAGGCTTAAATGACTCTCGTGTTGAACTTATGTACAGTCATGTGATGTTGAGAACCACCAGATTTGTAAATTTTTGTGTTTATTTTATTCCGATGTGACCATATGATAAGTTGGAGGTATGTAAAATAAAAATTAAAAAATCTAGTGGCGGGGGGGGGGACTTTTTTTTTTTTCTATTTTAGCCATTTTGAGGTTGGTGGACTTTGAAAAACGGGTCATCAAAATTTTCTGCCTATTGACAAATAAAAAATTCTTTAGGATCATGCATCATAGGAGAGATCAAATATGGTGAATTAGACTCTTGGCTTTTTTTTTTTTCATTTATTTTCATTCAGTATAAAAAGCAAAACAATCATAGAAACTATGCCAATATTAAAACCTAGAGAAATATATCATGAACTGTTTGCATGTTTTATATTGCATGATAATTTTGTTTGTGATCACATGATGTCTCTATCCCACACCAGCTGTTACTGATGTGAACACTTAAACATACAGCAAAAAGTAATATTTCATTTCCAAAGAATTGTGAATAAAAAAAAAAACTATGACAGTATCCATTAGTTAAAAACAAAACTAAAGGTTGGATAAAGCAGCACAAAAAGCAGAATGTTTTACAAAATATCTGTTTAAAAGAGCTCTTTTATGTAGTTGTGTGAAAATTAGTGTTTTGAAATGATGTGTCAACATTTCTGTGTAACACCTTAAAAATATCTCACACTTTGCAAAATTTACCCCAGCCTGTCTGTTACAATTCAGTGGCAGACTCTTTGTAATAATGTTCATCTCTCTTCCACATACTTAGTCCATCAAGTCTGCCCAAAGATGTGGGGGAAGTGAATTTTAACCTGTGATCAGCACTGTCCTCTTCAGAAAGTGAAGAATTACTGCTTTGGTAGTCTATATTTTTCCCATCCAACTTTTCATCGAGTGCCCTCAGTGAGATCTCTAACTCTGAGCTGTAGCACTGTGTGCCTGTGGTGCTACTGGAAACCGTTTCCATCTCATGTAAAGATGGCATGCTTTTGGAGCGAGGCGCAGGAGTGTAACGAGCCTGTCTGAAGGAAAGGGGGCTATCACTGCTTGGTTTTGCAGAGAAGACCCCATGCTCATTTAGGGTTGCATAGGAGTCGTAAAGAGTAACACCTTGCTCAGTGTCTGTCACTGTAACACGTGGAATGGAACTCACAGAGGGAGCATTTCTCATTTCCTCTGCCTCAGTTCTTTGCTTAGCTTGTGTGCAATAGTGAACCACTACGGCAACATTGACAACTACTAAAACTATTCCAAGTGTTGCTAATACAGCAATAAGTATTTCCATCCAACTGAACTGAATTTTATGAAACTCTTCATAAAACCCTCCACTGCTGTTTTGCTGCGAACTGGCAACTGTTGCTGAGGTCCTTTCATTACGTCTCTCTATCAGATTTGTCTTTTCTAGATGGGGATTGAAATCAAAGAAATGACTTAAATCATGGTATTCAAAATCTTCCTTTTCTGTCTCAGAATCCTCTAATTGTAATTTCTTGGAATCATAACCTCCAGGCATTAAACCAAGTTTTTCATTCTTTAAAGTGTCTTCCTTTGGGTGAAGTTCTGCTGCTTTTTCATCATTCAAGGTGCCAGTCGGTATTGGTGTTGTTATATTATGTATAAAGGGTCCTGAAGTGGTTGCAGCATGGCACCATTTCACTGCAAGCAGCACCAATATTAACATTATAGTGACATATGACTGAGACATGTAGGGGATGTCTGGTTCATTATGATTCTTGTCAAATGCTCAGCATGGCACTGCTACCATTTTACAAATTCAAGTTCCTTCCACTTTATATGTATCCAACGTTTCCTCCAATATTGTGCTTATGAGCTAAATTTATCAGTTGAAGTCACTTCTGTTGGTCAAGTCAGTAACCTTGATTTTTACATTTGGTCATAACTTAGTAGATCACTGTTCCTTCCTTCCTTCAAACATGCAATAATTGCATTTTCAAAACAATTAGGTTCATAAAATGGATTTAACAGTCAAAATGTGTCACTGCTGCATTTGTAATCAGTCTCATATTCTCCCACCAATAAGAAGCACACTTTGAACACGAGTTGCTTCACTACATGCAGCGCATGGCACATCTTAGTAACAGCTGTCATCCTCGCAGCATTCTAACTCGTGAAATATTGATTTTAGGAGGGAAAAATATAGTAATGACTGCTGCTGCTATCAGTATCTGATACTTCTGTTACTTTTAAACATTAAATGACAAGATAAGTATCTGGTGTTGAAGATACTTCATGTACAAAAGCATCATCTCATAATTATCTGGGGAACAACAATTATTTTAACAACCATGAACTTGTAATTTTCTTAAACTTTAAAACTTATTTTTACTTTGTTGGGGAAACTTTGTTCAATATGTATTCAGTCTGACACATATAGTTGTTTTTATGTCATGAACCATATGCAAAAATCTCTTGCATGATGGCAGCATTGTCAAACAGTTTGCTGATTTGAAGGATTTCTCTCCTCATAGCCATAAAATACCACTTAAAGTAGATAGTGGTCAGAAAGTTCCAGGAAACAAATTCATGATGTGAAATCCTCAGTTACTCTTTTTCTACACTAGTAGCACAATCACTTTAGAAGGGTAAGATGTCTTTCTGATGAAGTACACTGAATAAAAATTGGTCAGTCTTGAAGCATATTTATGGAGCTTTAAAAAAACAGACCAGAAAGCCTTCTCATGTCATTTTTATTCTTTAGACAAAATAAAAAAAATTATGATGTATACATCATATTTCATCATGAAAATATTTTGTGTGTAGAATCATTAAAGCAACATTTCAAACATTTCTAATGTTTACTCTTTAAGTCTTTACAGTTCCTCGTACACTGGCATATCTGGTGATCAGAATGGGTTGACAAAACTAGCAACACATTTATCTCATGTGACAGAAGTTAAAATACCATATTACTCAATGCAAAATATGAGCTTTCTTTTCTTTTATCTTAATTAAAGATACATATCAGGTATGTCAAATTATTGCCACAAATCCAACCAAGTTCCACCATATAGTTTCAATTAATAACACATAACTTATATGTATATGCCACAAAGGCTTTGTTACATAATTCCCCCCCCCACACACACACAAAAAAAAAAATCCTGCTGGCCAAGAGGATTTTTTTTGAGGGGGGGGGGGGGGGGGCATGTGGATTATATTTGTGCTTTGTTAGAAATTTGCTTTAATATAAATTTGTTTCATGCCATTTACTCTTGCTTAAGAAGTATCTTTAACCAATCAGTGAATATACTAGAGGGAATAGTTTGAAAATTATATTATGTTACCAGCTGTTAATGACAAAATAAAAATATAAAGTATACAAGACAAAATTTCTCAAGTCACATCATCACAATGATCTTGTCCCCATCAACCAGTTTTTTTCTAAATGTTAGCTATGGCAAGATTGATTGTTGCCTGTTATTTTAGTTCATTGATAAGAAAAGAAAGAGTAACAGTGAGATTAAATGAAAGAAAAAGGAATCAGTATTATAAGCTTCAGACAATCTCTTTAAGTACGGAAGAGCACAAAAGGCCACAACAGGAAAACTTGAAGAATTCCCTTAGTCTCTTAGCCCTGCAATATGTGTGTGTGTGTGTGTGTGAAGGGGGGGGGGGTCATCACCTCCATAATGAAGGTAAGCAGGCATCCAACAAAAAGGAGGAGGCCCAGGGTGTGCCTCATTTTTGTTGACAGGTAAAAAGACAACCAAAGCTACTATTAATGGTGAGTAAAACAACAGCTAAAACCAGTAAAGGCCCTAGTATTATAATCAGAAGCCAGCAAATGCCGTACTACTACCAGGGGACTGGGTTCCAATGAGGAATCTCTCAGAACATTAAAGACTTGGGAAGTTATTGTCACATTTTCAGTCTTCTGCCGAGGCTGCGATTCTGCAAGATTCTCGCCAAAAAAATGAAATTCTCG